TATTTATGAATATCTTGACTTGAATGACAAAATATTTTACAAATTGATTATAATGCCTATATTTGTGTGAACTTGACAGACAATAACAAGAGATTTTAAGAAGTCAGTGTTAGTGGACTTGGAAAACTTGTGTGTCAATTCTTACTGCAATGTTGCTGAAGTTCTTAAAAGAATAAGGACATGTCTTAGCACTGAGGAACTGACTGATTTCAGTAACACCATATTTGGTTGGATGTTAAAAATTGAAGATATGTCTTGGAATAGTGGACAACTACTGTTAGGATTTGTTGGAAACTATGTCACTGAAGTTAATGGAAATGCAGATGACAGTGTCATCAGATTTCATATTCAAAACAGTGTAATCAGTTTTCAAAAGGCTGATATGGCAACAATGTGTGGTTTAAAATTTGGGAGTCTGAAGCCAAATATTTCAGAGGAGTCTGAGGGAGATATATGGAGAAGATATTTTGGGAACAAGGCTACAGTGTCCCGTGCAGATATCCAAAATGCATTGAAGAGTTATGAGAGCACTGATGAAGGAAGAATGACAAAGGATGGAGTGAAGTTGGCTCTACTACACATATTGTCTCATTGTTTTTTTGGGAATCAAACTGCCAGGCCTATGAAAGCATACTACATAAACCTGGTAAACGATTTGGATGCATTCAATGCTTACCCATGGGGTGATGATGTTTGGAACGAGTTGGTTGACAAAATAAAACAAAGTTGTGAGGCATTAGATAAAGGCAAAGGGGACAGAGTTACATTCCCTGGGTACATGGTGGCTTTACAATGGTGGGCATTTGAGACATTCCCAGGACTTGCAAAAGCTGGTTTGTGCAAACTAATAAAGGGCAGAGAAAACATCTTACCAAGGACACTGAAGTGGGAATTCAAGAAAAAACCTACACTGGAGGTGCTTTCCCAAATAATATTCAAGAATGACAAGGTATTAGTTTTAATAGTCTAAATATATCTAGATTATAAGGTTACAATTTTTTTACTAACAAAGTGTACTTGTTTAGTTTGAGTGGACACAGATCGTACCAACAGAAGAAGAGATTGCCATGATTGGAGAAAACAATGACAGAGGTGGCCATGGAATGGACATTGTTATTCCAAATGTGGGGAGGCTAGATGCTGAAAAGATGAAAGCTATTGCAAAAAAAGGCAAAAAAAGGCAATACAGACCAGAAGCATGAAAAGGAAAACAAGAAAAGTAATGAAGGGAAAAGGTAAATCTGGCGAGGGAACTTCTAAAAGAAGAAAGAAGATTGAGATGGAATTCGAAAGTGATGAGGAAACACAGAGTGATGAAGGCACTGAGAGTGAGGATGAAGAAGATGATTCAAGTGATAGTGGAAGAAAAGCAGAGAAATATATTATGTTCATGAGCAAACATAGTAACAGTATGCAAAAAAGCATGAGGAAACAAGCTAAGGAGACTGCCAGACTAGTGGTAGAAATGAAAAACATTAAGCAAACTCAGAAAAAGCAGGAAGATCTTTTAAAAGAAGTTCTACTTATTGTCAAACAGATGTCACAAGGCAGTGATAAAGGTGAAGATGAGGACACAAGAGAAAGAACAGAGAAAGTTGAAAAGAATGAAAGTCCAGAAAAAGAAGAAAATGTTAATGAAAAAGAAGATGATGACATGACTGGGCAAGATTACGAGAATGATGAGGAACCTAGGCTAAAGGATGATGATACTGCTGACATTCATGTGCAAGAGGAGACTGAGTACATTGCTGCACAGACTGAGGATGATATTTTACATATTGGGGATGGTTGTGCAAAAAATGAGGATGCTGTTCTAGATAAAGATGTTGTAGAGACCGAGCACAATGAAGATGTAGTTTGTGACATGCCTACGTTTAACATATTGAGTCAGTCTCAAGAGATGGACAAAACTGTTGAATCTTGTTGGGGGATGGGGTCACAGGACAATAGTCAATTTGTCAAAGAGATTTGCAAAACTGCAGATGAAGTGGCCAAAAAGGCTTTTGAGAGCTATTTTTCCAATCCATGTACAGCAATCATAGTGAAGCCTAATCAGGTAACTAAAAAAAATAAAATGACATTCAAGTAGCATTTGGAAGGTATGAAACTGACATAAAAGTGACATTCGAAGTATTAGTGACAAATTAGTCAAGTTATGTGATATACAGTTTATGTGAAGTTATGAAACTGACAAATTGGTGACTTCTGTAGTACATATCACCATTGTATATATGATTTTTATGAATCTCAAAACATTTTATGTAATATTGTCTTGACTTGAATGACAAAATATTTTACAAATTGATTATAATGCTTATATTTTTATGATTATTTTTTAGTATGACATTGAGTGTATTAATACATTTTCAATAAATATAGAAAAATAATAAATAATATATATTATGGAAATGCCACAGGAACAAGAGGATCTTCCCAAACAAAAGCGTTTTGCTAGGTCACCAGTGAAGTACACTCCATCTGAGCATTCGCCAAAGAGGAGGAAGAGAGAAAAGGGTAAGAAAAGAGCTGACAATGAATTTTTGCCTCCACTGAAGGAAATAGTTGGACCTTTCACAGAAGATCCAACAGAGAGCCCACCAGATCATGAAATAGAGAGGGTGAGAGCATACCTCCAAGTTGGATTGTTGAAGAATTTTCAAAAAAACAAAAATGGCAGAAGGTACAAAGTGGAAGAAGAAAAAATGGTTCACAAACCGTTCTTGCTAGACACTATGAAAGTTGAATCAAAAACATGGTTATATGACATGTTTACGAATCATGAATGGATCACTGACAAGGTAAATTCAAAAATGTTATAGTTTTGTCAGTCTAACTCCCAAGTGTACATTTATATGTATGTTTGTTTGTATAGAATGTCATTAAAAGTCAGTTGAATTAGTTTGTAATTGTTAAATGTGTGTTTTATTTTTTACAGCATGTTGAGGTAGTAATGTATTATTTGGGCATGAAACGGGTGCATTACAAACTGCCACAAAACTACACCACAACTGGGCCTTTTTTCTTGCAAATACTGAAGCGGGAGCTTGACACTATATCAAAGGGGCACTATACATACCACAAGTCAGCACAAGAAGAAAATATTGTTCGTGACATAATAGGTGCGAACAACTATAGCCTACACTGGAGCAAAGCAGACTTCGTGTACTTCCCTCTGAATACTGGCAACCATTGGATTTTGGTAGTACTAGATATCAAGCAAAGAAAGGTAAGAGTGTACAACTCCAATGCTAGAAAAGGTGATTCACTAAGGGATATCAGGTCCTATGTTGCATGCATAACAGTCCTCCTGCCCAAAATAATGGACTATCATAAAGTGTACGAACAGATGGGTGAGGATCCTATGGGTGAAAGGTTTTTGGAAGTTGAGCCTGTAGAAGGATGTCCACAGCAAGATGATGGGTAAGAGGATATAAATTTGCTTAATCAGATTGTATAATAGTGTACTTTTTTATTTTAAAAAATATTTCTTTTAATTTTTGGTGTTATGCATCAGGGGAAATTGTGGAATGTTCATGCTCAAGATGGCTGAATTTCTAATGGTGGGGATGGACATGGATGGCATATATCCTGAAACAATACCTTTGTTTAGGAAAAAAATGGCAACTGAACTGGTCCTATAAAGCAAGAGGAGTCAGGGTGAGAGAGAATGAAATGAAGCTATAAAGAAATGGGATTGTAGGATGAAACAATTATGTTTGTTTTGGAAGACAGTTATATTTACTAGTACTTTTAATATCATGTCAGGACATCTAGACATCTAGTACATTCGTTTTGAAAAACTTGGTTAAAGCAACTTTCATTGTGTTTTGAATGTATGAAATATGCTTTATGACAATGCATTGTGACAATGCATTTTATTGAATTATGTTCAAAAAATCTGTTTGATTTTTACATTAAAGATGACTTTGTGTTAATGCATTACACAGGGTACTTATATTTATGTAAGCACGGATTTTTACATGAAGAAAATCCGTGATAAATGACATTTGGATGACAGTTTTTAGAAAACAAAATGACATCAACTTTGAAATCTATCTGTTAGAGGGACGTACGTGCCCTTGCCCAGTTTATCTAGAGCATTTTTTATAGTAACATGTAGATGGATACTAGGATTGAATGTCATTTACATGTAGTAAATAAATGACAACAAATTGACAAGTAACATGACATTTTGTGGAATACAAAATGCCATCAAATGTCACATATGTCATTTATGCATAAACAAAATGACATTATATTATTGAGATGACTTTTGGGATAAAACATTTGGTTAAAGCACAAGTCATAAACACTTAAATGCCAAGAATGGCTAAAGCACAAAACCTTAAACGTTCAAGGAAATGATAACCAAGTCCAAACCACATAGTAGAATTGTTAAAAGTACAAAAAACATAAGACAACATAAAATGAGTGGGCAAATCTACATCACTGGGTATTAATTGGAATTGGATTTCTACAAGTTTTCTTATTATGCCCAAGCACATGGCATCTAGAACATTTTTGACGTTTTGAACCTCTATATTCAAAACGTATGAAATATGTTTTATGACAATGCATTGTGACAATGCATTTTATTAAATTACGTTCAAAAGATCTATCTGTTAAAGGGACGTACGTCCCCTTGGCAAGTTTATCTAGAGCATTTTTTATAGTAACATGTAGATGGATACTAGGATTGAATGTCATTTACATGTAGTAAATAAATGACAACAAATTGACAAGTAACATGACATTTTGTGGAATACAAAATGTCATCAAATGTCACATGTCATTTATACATAAACAAAATGACATTACATTATTGAGATGACATTTGGGATAAAACATTTGGATAAAGCACAAGTCATAAACACTTAAATGCCAAGAATGGCTAAAGCACAAAACCTTAAACGTTCAACGAAATGATAACCAAGTTCAAACCACATTGTAGAATTGTTAAAAGTACAAAAAAAACAGAAGACAACATAAAATGAGTGGACAAATCTACATCACTGGGTATTAATTGGAATTGGATTTCTACAAGTTTTCTTATTATGCCCAAGCACATGGCATCTAGAACATTTTTGACGTTTTGAACCTCTATATTCTCCAATGGAAGGAATCCTGCATTTCTTAGGGCGACCAGGATGACGCTTCAAACAACTTGGTGGCTTGCATCTCTGGTTTTGAATAGTAGCAGGAATTGACCAACTGTCAGGATCAGCAATAGGATGCATGATACCAGACCATGTAGCAAGCCAAGCATCTCTTGTGTAATATGGAGATATGTACGTATAACATGAAAGGTGTGGGCGTATACCGATTGCAGCCACAGCATGAACACACACAAATTGATCTAATTGAAAGTGGCCGCATGTACAACTTCTAGAGTTGATGTTTACCACAAAGGACTTGCATCTACTGTCAACAACTTCAAATTCATATGCACATGATGGTTTAACCTGTGAAATAAAAAAAAATAAGAATATGAAAGTAGATAAAAAAGAGAATTAGCAAAAGAATATAGCAGTAATATGTGGCTATGAAGTATGTAAAATGTCAACTTATATATGAATATTAAGTAGAAGAGAAATAATAAATAAAAACGCTAGTAAGACTATTTGAATATGAAGTACACAAAAATGACAAAATTATAAAGACAAAATGACATATTAACAAACAAAGTGGAATTATAAAAGGAGATGAAAAAATGAAAACGGGCTAATGGTATTCAAAGTCAAAAAATAAGCTTTGACATACCTTCATACGTGTGGATTCAGCTTGCAAAGCTACCAGGCGTTTCTCACATTTCTTTGTGAGTATAGTACTTGTTTTCTCAGCTTTATCTTTCCTCTCTGTGAACCATTGCTGCATCCTTTCACGCAAGAAATCAACAAGTTTAGACACAGAATACTCTCTAGCACAGACATTGACTTTGTTCATAGACTCAGCACAATTTGATGTCATAATATTATATCTCTTTGGGCCAGACATTACTTTTGACCATGTGTTAGCACCTAATTTGTCTAGCCAAGTCCTTATCTTGGGGTCTTCAGAATCCAACATGGATAAGTAGTCATCATATTCTTTCATAGTTGCTGCCATATAGGCAGCTTTGAACTTCCATCCCAAACCAGCTGCAGATCCTCTGAATTTTGATGTTATGTTACGACCAAGATGAGCAACACAAAAACCGTGGCTAGCATGTGGCAAGAGTTCAAAAACGGCCTTGATAAGCCCTTTATGCCTATCAGATACCACGTACAGGTCATGTCTGTACTTTATTGATTGACAAACTTTGGATAAGAACCATTTCCAAGAAGCTTTAGTTTCAGAACCACAAATACCAAATGCAATAGGAACTATGTGATCATTGGCATCTTGGCAACAAGCTGTAAGGAGAGTGCCTTTATAGTAAGCCTTCATGAAAGAACCATCCAATATAAGAACAGGTCTGCAGTAGGGCCAAGCTTCTATCCATGGTTTGAATGACATAAAAAAGGTAGAAAATGCATCATCCTTCCCTGTGACTAGATTAAACATAGAGCCAGGATTTGTTTTCTCAAGCACATAAGCCATTGAAGGCAAAAGCTGATAGGATTCAAGATCAGAACCAAATTGCAGCTGCATTGCTTTCTTCTGTGCTTTCCAAGCTTTGTTGTATGACATGGAAATTTCATACTGCATACTCATGTCCTCACGAATTTATTTTGGGGGGTATGGTTTATTGGAAGCATCAAGGTATTTGTGTGCAATAATATTTGCTATCACACTAGCAGATGTCTGTCTATGTTTGCCTTGTCTGTAATCAATAGAGCATGTGTGAACTGGCCGGAATCTGAAAAGAAAAATGACATTAGTATACAAATACATAATATGAAGTTGACAGTCCTGTATAAGAATGGCAACACAACATGACATTCTTATAAACCAGAATTTACAATGAAGTGAATTAAAGAAGGAAAATTGAAGTTACCTTCTGATTTGAAACATTGTTACGCCATGTAGTTTTACAGCTCGAACACTCCAACAACATTTTGGATCAAAGCAAATAACATGCAAACATATTTTCTTCGATGTCTTAGTTCTGTATTGGAAGTGGTTTGTGATAGCATACATCTTCAGATGGTGGATAAGTTCTTTTTAATTTTTGTAAATAGCATGGAGAAGAAGACAAGTAGGATGGGACTGTGTGATGATTTCAAAATTTTGGAGAAATGAGAATGAGTCAGATGATTTAGTTAAAAGGCCATCTGACATGTCATCACTGTCTTCAGATGATTCATTTTCTACAGTTGCAGACACAGTGTTACCACAAGAAACAATATCTTCGGATTGGCCACAACTTACCCCAGATAGCATAACATTTTCATATTGACCAAATGGTGGGCCATCATCAAAAGAAAGTGTAGGTGAGGAGGAATGTTGTTGGGCAGAAGAAACAACAACATTCTCATAAGTGGTATGTTGTTGTGAAGCATGGTATGTTGTTGTGAAGAAATGACAACATTTTCAGACCAAGGAGAAGCAGATGGTCCAACATCAATAGAAAATGCAGGAGAAGATGAAACAGGATAGAACTCAACACAAAGTGGATACAATGAAAAATCTGGTTGAAGAGACTTGATATAAAGATAAAATGTTAAGGTAGATTGATCATTTATAGTAACAGGAGGAGGAAATCCATCTCGCATATAAGAAAGCCTGAAATTATGATTAGCTTTGTACTGAGAAAGGATGTCACTCAAAGAGTTAATAAAAGAAGCATATTGAACATTATAGTTAACATGAAGGTCACATGTGTGGACATTGTTGAACACATTGTTAGAATCCCAAAAACCGTCAACCTTGACCATAACAAGTAAAATAGGATCCATTGTGGTAAAAAGGTTCCTAAAAAAATGCAGCAAAAGAAATATTTCAGTATGAAAAAAGACAGTTCGGACAAAATAATGACAGTTTTGTTAACAATATGACAGTTTATAAGGATGTGTACCATTGAATGACAGAACATAAAAAGGCGAAATCAAAAAATGCATATACAGGTAGGAACGTAGCACAAACTAAATGACAGTTTGGACAAAATTATGACAGTTGTGTTAACAATATGACAGTTTATAAGAATGTGTACCAATTATATACAATTACAGAACATAAAAAGGAGTAATCAAAAAATGCATATACATGACAGTTCGAACAAACTAAATGACAGTTCGAAGGGCATAATTTAGGTAGACGAATAGAGAATTTAACAAAAACAAAATAAATTGTAGATACAAACTGATATCTAAACTAGCGGATGAAATTTAATGAAATAAAACAGAGTACAACGACATACGAAATAAATTGTTGATTATAACGAATTTGAAAGCGATCATATGATGAAAGGATCGATAATATGAAATTGAAGAAAAAAACAGAGCTGGAAGGAAAAAACAGAAGGATTGACGAATGCAGGAAAAAGAATGCAGGAAAAAGCGATCGTATATCTAATATAACAAATTTATTCTTCAATGTAACAACGATTGAAGAAGAATTGACGAACGAAAACAGAATCACGGCCAGTATTATGAAAGCTTTAAATTTGAAGTAAACATACCCTGCAAAGAACGAAACACAGGCAGGACCTCGTACTCAGAATTGACGAATGCAGGAAAAAGATGCAGAATTGACGAACAAGGAAACTACTCGGATAAGGAAACTACTCAACCAACAAGTAAACGGAAACTCCTTAACCGCTTGAAACTGGATAACCGAAAAAGGCCGGTAAATTTTACGTGCGTGTAAACAATCTCAAGCGAACTTCGAACAGGGGTATTTAGGATATTTCCTAAAGTAGTAAAACGTAAGATAGGACCGTATAAGTCCTATCAACGAGAGAAAACTTGGTAAGTCCTAATATGAGTTTTTTAGCATGTTTAAGTCCTATTATGGCTAATTTCTTTTTAAATATTTACACATGTTTGGTTTAGAAGTGCATTTATAATAATCTAATAATGTGCACTCCATTCCTGATTTTGATGACCCGTTTGATATAGCGCCTGTTCCTGTTGTTGCTCATATCAATTTTGTTTCTGTTGACACGTCAAATGGTGATTCTGTTACCAGTTTAACTGACACAAACGAACTGTTTACTACCCCTGTTGAGTCTTTGAATAATGATGCCTCGATATATGCCAGTGATAAGGCTGCAGATCCTGGCCCCGGAGAAATGCCTTTGAAGGGAAAGATGGAAATGAAGGACCTAGTTTTGATCCATCTTTTCAAACTGAGAATGCGTGTACTACACTTGATCCTCCCCTGTCCAGTGATGATAATCTATACGAGGATACCCCTATTATTACTAACCTTGCTCTTTCAGGTCCACTAGAATGCCCACCATAAGAGGAGCCCGATGGCTTCACTACGGTGACAACAAGAAGAAATAGAAGCAAGTGCGCCAAGCCCGCAAACGGGAAGTCACAAGAAGTCAATCCAGATATCCTCAACATGAAGATGATTATTACATTTACTCAGTTGATGTGAGGTTGGACTCTCCGTACAAACTTGCTACGACTCTCTAGAGATACAAGTCTTCTCACCCGGAAGCTATAGTCTGTCAACCCTATCTCCGGAAGGCTATTCAGCTACATAACAGATTTAACAAATACATTTCAGCTACAACCGGGATACCTTCAAAGAACTTCAAATGTTAAATCCTTGTTTTTTTCTATTTCATATTTGGTTGCAACCTCAACTTTTCTTATAAAATTGGGTAGTGTTCTCCGGCACTCCCGCCACCACGTGTGGTTCACTCTGGGAATATATATACTCCCTCCGGTTCTGAAAGATCTTTACACTTTCCATTTCTAACAGTACCAGAAAGATCTTTACACTTCCTTATTTGTCTTATTTGGCAAATAAATCTACACAAAACAGTGCCAAACGGTGTCAAACAGTGTCAAACAGTGTCAAACAGTGTTTATTTCCTTAAAAACTGTGAAGTCAAAGTGTCAAGATCTTTTGGAACCGGAGGGAGTATATAAGAGATCAAATACAAACCATGCTTAAAATACTAACCTACAAACTCAATAATATGCATCACTTTGAACTTCAATATGCAGTAAAAATAATGTAAAGATGTAGGGGTGAGATCACATACAGACTAGTCCTCTCATTCAAATCATATTTACATTATTTGTATTGCACATTGAAGTTCAAAGTGTTTCATAATATTCAAGGCATAAAATAGCAGTTTCATATTTACATTATTTGTATTGCGTATTGAAATTCAAACAGTGCATCTTTACATTATTTGTACTGCATATTGATGTTCAAAGTGCTACATATTATTGAGTTTGTAGGTTAGTGATACGTTCGTAATTTCCATATCTATGTTTATGTTTTTAATTAGTTTTGATTGACTTTTACTTTGGAAATTACACACTTTTGGTGTAATAGATTAGATTGTTAAATTCTTGTAAATAGGTTAGATTAGATATATTCTGAGCTTAAGCAGGTTTTGGTCACTCAAAGTACAGTTGGTGAACCCAAAAAGTGAAGAGAAGGTGCAAAAGTTCAAAGACAAAAGAAGATCCTGAATTTTGGTCTATACTCGGTCGAGTATTAGCTATACTCGATCGGGTATTAGGTTGGAACTTCAAATCGGATCAGATCCGAAGACAAGTGAACATGCAGGGAAGATTTCGGCCACGATTTTATGTCTATACCCGATCGGGTAGACCGACATACCCGATCGGGTATGCCTTTGAATTTCAAACGAAGATCGGTCGAGTATGGTCCGAATACCATTTTCTAAGCATACTCGACCGGGTATTCATATATACTCGATCGGGTATACCCTTAGAAAATAGCCTGAAACCGGTCGAGTATGCCTCGGATCGAGTGTTACACACGTACTCGATCGGGTACCATGTATATACCTGATCGAGTACCCGAACCCCATCCCAAAAACCTATAAATACACCTCCTTTCCTTCACAAAAAGATATCCAATCCCTTTGTACATCTAAGCTCAGTATAGAATAGTTCTTTCTTTATATTTTTCATCATGTTTAGTCTCCAAATGAGGAGCTAAACTCTTCCATCTTGGTTTTGCTACTTTGAAGCTTAATGAATTTGTAAGTTGTGAGTTATTTTCTTTAATCTTCTTCCTTGAATATTAATTCTTTCTTTTAAAATACTATCTCTATATCAAAGTTGGGGAGTGTTACTAAGATGACAATTAGTTAACATCTTGACATTGGTTATAGTAATAGCTATTTCTTCCTCTATGATAATATTGGGGAGTGTTACTAAGATGACAATTAGTTAACATCTTGATATTAATCATAGTAGGATTCATATATTTTAATATTCTTCCTTGAGTATTAATTAATTCCTATTCATATTTCATGTTAATATCTTAAACATTACTTAAAGTATCAACTAGTATTGTTTCTCATATTAATTATTACTAGAATCAATCGGTTAATACGCTTGTTATTAATCCGGTTCTTTCAACGGTAGTAAAATTGGAATATCAATGCATGCATCTCATGGTTAATATGCCAAGGGGAATTAATTATATTGATTAAACCAATAAACCACTTGTGTTGAGGTTATCAATCTCAATCGTTTTCATCTTAAGTTTATTGCTACTATCAAGTTAATATACGGCGCTTGTTCTATATTGACTCGATAGTAAGTTTTATTAATGAACGCATCTCGTTATTAATAACTATCCTCGATGAACTGGATATACTCCTCGATTGAGTATTCGAGAGGAAGATAGTTAAAGATATAACCGGGATCGACGAACATTTCATTAAGTGGATAAAAGCAAAACCAAGTCTTCATCTCATTGAATTTAACTCATATAGGTTGTTTATCTTAGTGTTGTTAAAACAAACAAATCTAAACCCCCCTTTGTTACTACTTTTATAAAAGAAAAGTATTCCTTTCCCTGTGGATACGAACCTTACTACACTATACTACGTATTAGTGTCGTATTGATTAATTATTTTGAGTGCACCTAACGACGAGTGCACGTCAAATTAGCAAGTTTAGCAAGGTTTGTATGTGATCTCACCCCTATATATATAGGGGTGCGGTTCCAATGAGAACGATGCTTAACGTGAGAATGTGAGAACAATCACGTTTAACCTAATGTGATACACAATAGAGCCCGTCTGGTGCACATTTTGACTTTTCTTAAAACAAGCCAATATAAATCATCACGGTGGCATTTTGGTAAATATTAAGCTGAACACGAAAAAGTGCATTGGGCGAGCCTCATTGTGCATCACATTTGGTGTTCTCACGTTCTCACGTTAAGCATTGTTCTCATTTGATCCTAAATATATTATAGGGTGCGGTTCCGGTGAGAACACTTCTTAACGTGAGAAATGAAAATGCTCAAAAATGATGCACTTTATCATTTACGAAAATGCACATTTATAGTTAAAGTAATGCAAAATTCTAATGTGCACGTTTACGTGTAAACTTTTGCACACTTGAAATGCACATTTTCCAATTTTTTATATGCACATTTCTGTTTTACTTGATGCACAATGCCAAAATCCAAAGCTCCGGAATCATTCTCATTTCTCACGTTGAGAAGTACTCTAATTTGATCCTTACTCTATATATATAATATATATATGTAGAGAGAGAGAGTAATCTTCCCATCAGACCTTCATGACCGGATGCGCCATCCGGACAGCAGCATTTAGGGCTCTTCCCAGTGAAATTTTTTGATGAAATGTTTATGACATGTTCTTCATCAAGTCTAGTTTATCCACAAAAAATTTCAGCTAAAAATTCAATCGAAAAGGCCGTCAAATGATTTTTGGAAGATAATTGCGTCCAAAATATACATATAAAACGCAGTTAACTTCCAAAAATTACTTAACAGGCTTCCGAATTGAATTTTTAGCTGAATTTTTTTGTGGATAAAATATTTCTCTCTGAAAACTGAATTTTTAGCTGAATTTTCAGGAATTCCGTGCAGATATAATTTAGGGTTTTTTAGAGAGAAATATTTTTACTTATATTCTATATTCTAAAAACCCTAAATTTTTATCTATATTTCTCTCTATAATTTAGGGTTTTTACTTAAAATATCTCTCTCTAAAATATTCATTGTAAACAAAAGTAATTTGTGGGAGTACTATGCATGAATGTATGATGTTCAATTCTAAAAAAATGCTACTTTTACATCGCCACTAATAGTTTTCTTATGTTATACCAAATGATTGTCGTGTGTCACTGTTGCCACAGCTGTTGTCATTGCCGCCGTGAAACAAATCACTTAGGCAATCGGAGATTTTTTGGATAGCTTTTTCTGACAAACTACAGAAAAATGGAAAAAATAGAAAATTCCCTGACGGATTTTTCGTGGCGCCTTAACCAATGGGCGGAGGAGGGGTTCAAGCAACAACCGCCCACAACGGTTACTGGAGGCAGAAGTGGGGCGCAGGGGTGGGCAATGAAGTAGGAATTATATTATATGAAGAAGAAATGTATATTGCTTAAACAAATGTTAGTTAATTTAAAAAAAAACAATCATATTTTCTATCTTCTTAAAGTGTGAAGATCGCATATCTGGAAGATTGATGTCTTTTCTACCTTTCCTCTCTTTTTTCTTTTATTGTTTATCTTCTTTATCTTTTTATATTCTTATGTTACTTTTAATTATCTTCTAACTTTCTTATTTTATTTTTCTTATATTCGTTTTATCTTAGTTTTGTTCTTCCCTTTCTTGTCCGTCTTCTCTGTTTGGTATCGATATCATAAATCGATTCATGTTAGCCGACCCCAAAATATTTTGGGATTAAGGCTTGGATGTTGTTGTTAAAGTGTGGAGATCGTATTTTTCCAAAATTCTATACTACGTAAAACTTAGGCCTTTATGCTTATAGCATTCACATCCATGCCCTCCAAATAATCTATTTCTCACATCTAAATTATATTTTGTGGGTCTTGCGGTCAATATTAGAAGGGGATGCACCGGGTAAGATGTTATTGTGTGACCAAGAGGTCTCAAGTATTGGGAAGTAGTAGATATCTCTTGTCAAAATCTCCCTCTACAATCTAGTGGCGTTACCCTTCATTGACCTTAACTTGCCTAGCATGGACACCAGTATGCATCGTATATTCGTATGGCCCTTTATATGATCAATAGCATCTCTAGTTTCACTAATAAAATTGCAATCTTCTGAATTCATAGTTTGATCCAAATTATTCTCATAAATATTATTTCTCACACAACTATATTAGCCTAAAAAATAATTAATGTCACCACTTTATCCCCAAAATGTCTTATGGGCGGCAGGGATGGATTTAAGGGGGGCGCGAGGGGCGACCGCCCCCCTTGGACTTTCAAAATTTTCTATTGATATATAGAGTCCGTTTGGTAACACTAAAATTGGCTGAATTGGCTGATTCTGCTGAAATTTATGAAGTTCTGGCTGAAGTGGCTGTACTAGTTGATTCTGCTGATTCATGAAAAAATTATATTTAAAATATTTGTTATTAATAAATTAAATAAAAAATTATATGAAAAAATAGCTAAAATGATTCTCTACAGTAAATTCAGCCAATACAGCCAGAAAAGTAACTCAAACCTTACTTTTTCTGCTTATTACAAACTTCAGCGCACGAAATCAAAAGTTACGTGTTTGATGAAAAAGTTGGCTGATAAGCCTGATAAGCCGAAAAAAGGGGTTACCAAACGGGCTCATAGTCTTACATAATGTAACACTTGATTAGAGATTTAAAAGAAGGAACATCTAAAATAATTTACATAACTTAAATAAATAAACAATAGAACAACTCATTGTTAAAGATTTAAGATACTATATTAAAATTCTTAGTTTTGTAATGTTTAATTATCTTTATTAGATAACTAGTTAACAATGTTGTAAAATATATATCAAACAATATTAAATACCAGACAAACTAGTTACATAGTTTTTAGATCATGTGAAGCGAATCCAACTTATAAATGTTTATTGAATTAAATTACACAATTCATTTATTTCTTACGTTTTAAAAAGACTTTATTGCATAGATAATAAACTTTAGTTATTTGAGCAAATATAATATATAAATTAAGAAAACTCATACTACCTCCGTTCTTGAATAAATGCAACACTTTGACTTTTACACTATTCACATGTTCTACTTTGACTACGTTTTATTTATTAATGTAATAATATTATTTTATGAAAAAAATATTGTTAAACTTGTCTTATTGTAAATTTTCATAATCTAATTTTTTAAATTTTTTTACTAATACAAAATCATTTATATTAATGATCAAAGTTGTGTCTCGGCAAGTGTGAAATGTTGACTGTTGCATTTATTTAAGAACGGAGGAAGTACATACTATTGTAATATTAAGAAAGCTCCTTGTGACTCATGAACACCCTCCTTGGTAGACAAAAATTGTAATTCAAAAATCAATTCTTTATTTCTCTAAGATTCATGTAGTTAAACAATGTTCAAGTTATTTTAAAAGTATTGGTTAATGTGTACCTTATAAACTCTATCTTTAAAAGGAAGCGGTCCAGCTCAGCGGGTCGCCGATTCACTCTCCCTTACGGTTGGTCTCGGGTTCGAAACTCAATGGAGTGAGTTTCAGCCCTTATTACTCCAGGCCCCCAGACCCCCTCCCTCAGACGCCCCCTGGAGTAAAAAAAAACTTTTAAAAAAAACTCTTTATCTTTAAATAAAATGTTATATATCCTTTTTTATTTTCAAATTATTTTTCTTTGATTTGCCATTTCTTACGCTTTAATGTAACAATACTTTTTTCTAGAGCACTACAATTATAAAATTAAAGTTATTTTGCCATTGTCTAAACTTAGAATGTAATATATAGATTTAAATATCATCATGTATGTATTAATGAATTCTTTTGAATAAATATAGCCGCAAAGGCTTACCCTAGTGAAAATATTTTGCCCCGCTACACTAGCAAAAAAATTCATCCCGAATACTAGTGATTTTTTTTTAACCTCCTACACTAACAAAAAATTTCGCCTCCTTGACTCAATTCTGGATCCGTCTCTTATGGGCGGGGATACCCTAAAACTCTAGAAGAAAGAGTTATTCCATGGCTCGGAAGGTTTCTAAGGACCTTTGTTTCAGTTTTTTGTTTCATCTTTCATACAGGTAACCTAAGGGCTCTTGGAATGTTTTTCTACTCTTTACTTCCTGTCACAGGACCGAGTTCTTTAATTTTCACTCAATTCTAAAATCTCTTAATACTGTATACCAAAGTCAAATGCACTACTTTTTCAAATCTTAAAACATACCAGTGCGTTTTAATCAATTCTTCATTCGATACTTGCAACTTTTCCAATGCTCTGATTATCAACTGTATCTGTATTATGATCATCATCAAGAAGAATTCCCTCTAATCGAACCAAAAGAGTGTGAGTAGTTGAGCTCAATAATCGGTTTTCTTGTCTCAGACTGTCTACCTCTTTCCTCAACTCCTCATTGTGCTTTTCAAGTTGAAGGCATGATGACATTCGATCGTTTAAAATACCATTCTCTCTTGTCAGATCAGCCATTCCCTTCCTTAGTTCAGTTATTTGCTCTTCCAAAAACAAATTTTTCCTTTCAAGATCATCCCCGTCCTTTATAAAGAAATACACATCCAATAACGACGAATAAACTCTGTGAAGAATTGAAGATATGAGGAAAAAGGAATAGGAAATATAGAGCAGTAGAAAGAAGATGTACTCACATTGCTGCTGATATATACGATGGAATCTCCGATGAACTTCGTCGATTCTCTGCTTGTTCAGATAAAATTTCTATACAGGAAGGTGCATAGGTTTCTTTACTGATTATAGTCACCGAATCCATCTCTATACCAGCTGTATATTGATCCATTATCTGGTAAAGCATTTAAACAAAGTGTTAAACACTTGGGCCTAACATGAGCTGCTAGTTGTTACCGCTATCTTATTTAGGCTTTAACGCCCTCAAGAAATCTTGAATCATGTCATGGTGGAACGGAAATTTACATCAGAAACTTCTTCTGAAGACTGCTGCACTGTACTTTGCCCTGACCTTTCCCACTCTAGAAACTCTTTGATTATTCGAACCTCTGATTCCTCTGGAGTCAATTCAAGGCTCCAAATGATCTTAGAGAAAAGAAAGAATAATTAAAATCATCACAAGTGATCATGAAACTATTTCAACTGTAAAAGTGTAAAACCATAGAGACTTTTATTAGAAAGCATTTTCCAATAATGTGGACTTAATGCAAGAGAGACTGAAGTAAACAATATAACAGCTACTTAGAAATATAAAACCAACTATTTGTGAAGCTCAAGTACCTGATTGTCTCCAAGTGTTTTGAATTTGTCAATGAACCACTGACGATGATGGGTTTTTGTACTTCCCCATAGGCAAACACGAGGATACTTCACCGCGTTATCTATCTTACCAGGCCTAGCTAAATCTATATGCTCGTAACACCAAATCTGTGCATGTCAGCATATTCAAACTTGAAATGTTAGATTCACCCGAAAAAATATAGGAACCATATAATTTTGTCTAACAAGTTGGTAAAGTATTAAGATCCCGCAAGAATCTATTACATAGTAACACCAACCAATGGCCAGTGTAAGAATGAGTAGTAGTTTACCAACTTTGAAGATTCAGTGCCCATTTGGTAACCTTGTTTTTGGCTTCTAAGTCTTAACAGTAATATAGTTTGTAGAACACTATTTTTTATTAATAATGAAAATAAGTTTGAATGTACCTTTCCTGAAAATAAGTAAGTTTGAATGTACCTTTCCAACTAAATTAACTGAAATGAACACTTTAAATTGCTTTATATTGTTAATAAAGTGTATCTAAATGTAACGTTTTCATAATTCACTCAATTTAATGTTACCAACCAGAAAGACAAATGGTAAGCTTACTTGTAGGAAGATCAGACAACCTCCAACATATTGCACATTTTCTCTCTTCCTCTTGTTCAACCAGTAAGTTAAATCTTCAAGAACGGCTGCGCCCCATGCAAACTCGTCCACTTTATCCACATCCCGGAGAAGATAAAGGTAGCGGGAATCAACTTTTCCATTCGAATTGGGGAAAAGCAGTGTCCCGAACATGAATAACAGAAATGACCTCACAAAGTCTTCACTGTCAGCCTCTCCCAGAGACTCCAGTCTCTGTTCTACTGAGGCAACTGCAATTTTCCGATTCCATAGGGCAGCACCATACTCTCCTTCCAAATCCAGGAACGGTATGTCATCCTTCACAACTACAGGCTTTCCCATCACCCTTAATCCCAAGATTAAGGAAATATCCATCAGAGAGATGGTAACCTCCCCATGAGAAAGTGTGAAAGCGGACTTGTCACAATTCCATCTTTCCATCAACTCAACTAAAAGACTTTTACAAATCATTTGATTAGGGATCAAGAGTAAACTACCAAACCCTGTCCTCCTTACAGCCTCCTTCTGAGCTTCAGTCAGCCTATTGACTCGCTTGGCAAATGAAGGCAGTGAGAATCTAGTGCTGAAATTCCCAACCTGCACACGGAAAAAACATGTTGGAAATATTTTGCCTCGAAGGCTTCTATAGTGTGCTCAGTTAGTTATCTTTCTTGAACATAACGAAAGAGCTTCACCAATAAGTTTTAAAATTAGATTCATCAGTTAATCGTTCTTTTCGCGAGTTTAGTAAATTGGAGCCAACGAAACGAAGTCACTACTGAAGAAGAATGGAGATTCCAAAAGGGCTGAAAGAACTTACAGTAAAGGCTCCACCTTTTGGATGAACTGAGGTTCTTCTGCTTGTTCCCTTCATCTTTTCTATAACCATATAAAATGTCTTCGAAGATTACAGAACAAACAGACGGCGAGGAAAAGCTCGCTGGAGAATCCAAACAAGGAGGGCGCCAGATGCGCCAAAAATAACTTTTGAATCTCGACTGCCCAATCGACAAAAAAATTGAATTTGGAAATTTGTTGTTCAAGTGTTGGCCTTAAAAAAAAGTGTGACTTAACCATCCAAAAAAAAAAGTTTGACTTGAACGGGTATGGTCGGTAACTCGGTATAATAAGGTGTCAAAATATTGTCCTCCTTTCTTTTGTACTCTCTCCGTCTCTGAAAATACTTTCAACTTTCCCTTTTCGTCCGTCTCAAAAAGAACTTAACTTTCCTTTTTTGGCAAAGAATTTGTGGTTCACAACATTTCTCTCTCCTCTGCACAACTCTCCACCACACAATTCCCACTTTCTTAATTCGCGTGCCACTTTATTTTGGAAGTAAATTATGGGACGGAGGTAGTATTAAAAATAATCCAATTGATATTCATATTATCTGATGTTTCATAATTTTCTTTTTATGTTACCGGAAACTGGCATATTATATTTGATGGATAAGTGTACCCGCGGGGTATCTATCCGAGTGGTTACTGCGGGGAGTAACTAGAGAGAAGTCAGAGCAAATAAGAGAGAGAAAGTGTATTGAATATGTAAGTTAAGGCTTTTTAGCGTGGTTTACAACGAGGAAATGAGGTGCTATTTATAGTAGCAATAAATGTCAGACAGAGACACGTGTCAAGCATCCATTGGTCGAGGGGTCACCTCAACTGGTTGGCGTTGGCAATCGCATGTGGCCGTATTTAATGCGGCTGTTGGATGTGACGTCGTACTTGGTACGGTGATCCCTGAGCATGTGGATCGGATATTATGTCGGAAAAGGTGCCCTCGGCTGTAGATGATTAGCCGAGGGCTCTGATTACCGGGGACCTCCTTAGTGTCGAGGGCTCTAGGTGCCGAGGGCTACTGATTTTCGCCGTTTTCTCCCAGTAATTTTGTTTTCTTGATCCGGCCATCCTGTGAGAATTGGATCCTTCGGCCAGGGGGGCGAAGGCATCCCTAGTGTGCCACGTGGGTTGCTTAGTACTTGGGGCGTCGTGATTTGGGTCTGCCGTGCTTCCTGTGCCTATGGGGCCTCCATTAGAATAGTAGGAGTCTATGGGTCAGGGGTTCCTGGGCCATATACTCCATCAGGAGTCCCTCACTCCTTTTGCCGAAAGGTACTTGAGGGAAAAGGAGTAATCTGTGTTTGCCCTTTTGGTGTTGTTTCGTTGTACTCTGTAGAGTTTGTGAGCAGTTTGTTGTGTGCACATTTCAGCCGAGGGCAGTCCCACAATTACCCACATTCCGGGACTTGAGGGATCATGCTCGTTGTTTGCGGGAGTTTTTGGCATTTTTTGTATTTTGAGGGATTTTCCCGGAGGGGTCCTCCAGTCCCCCACTCCTTGAGGCACTTGCCAAGTGGTGAAAAGGAGTAGAGTAGTGCCTGCCTGTAATGTGAAGCCGAGGGGTGACGCTTTTCGTTTCATTTTGGGGGGTGCCTCGTTAAAAACCTCATTAGGAAAAACCTTGTGGGAAAAAATCCTAATGAGGGAAAAAGGGTGCACTGAATTCCCCCAACGATGAATCGAAAATGTGAAGCCCTGGTTTGAAATGGAGTACAATGCTGACGCCGAAGGCTATCCTTGTTCTGAGGGCACGTGTGTTGATTAGCCGGAGGCTTGCTGTTGATATCCTGGGATGTGCCGAAGGGGAGTCCCTCAATCTGGGGATCGAGGGCGTGATGAATGTGAGTAGTAGTTGAAGTGTTACCGGGGAGTCCCCTGTTTGTTGATCAGTTGGTGAGGAGGGTACCCGAGGGCTTCCGTTACCTGTGTGCCGTAGGCTATCCGTCAACGAGGTGTACTCCCCGGGGGCTACCTGGTCCTCAAGGTGTTGAGGGGGGAATCCCTGAGGGGTGTGCCTGTTATGAAGTCGTGGGCTCCTGAAGGAGTGAGCCCGAAGGCCTTTGTGACGTAGTATGAGGGGCATAAACCGGGAGCATCTCTGGGTAAGTGTACCCAGGGGCTCCTCTTGATGAAGTGTAGTGAAGTAAAAAGCCCGGGGGCTAGTTTCTTGGTTGATGAAGGAGTGGTCTGCTGAATATAGCCGGGAGCTCCCAGAATATAGCCGTTGTAAATATAGTCGTTGGAATACCTAACGTCAAAATATAGCCGTTGGGGGGGCTTCCACGTGGTGCGTGCTCGTTGGCTGTCTGTGGGCGGGCGTCACTTATTGGGCAGTTCGACGGTTCGTAATGATGGCTGTAACACCGCCCCCGAGTATTTGTACTGTACCAAATTATGTATTGAACCTCGAGAAATGTATAAAAGCATTTTTACGTGATTGTAAATTTTTATCATTTCTATTACGTGAATAGTAAAATTCACGTGGGGCCCACACCGGATGTGGGGCCGCCCGATATTATCGGGACCACATATTATATTAATCTTGGACTAGATAATATGAATATGGTGGTGGATATCCTAATTGGGCCATGGCAATGCCATATAGTTGACCGGTTGGTCAAACGGGGCCAAATTATCGGTATCGGCAAATTTATCAGATGACAGCCCAAAAAGGGATTTCGGAGACTTCTAAATTAAATTTGGGAAATGCATATTGATTCTAAGGTCCAATAAGGATTGGGAACAAGTGTTATATTTTATTTGACCCGATAAAATAAAATATACTTAAAACAGTCCGGAAAATACAACTTACGGGACCGATTGTACACTCGGGTACACAAAGGGTTGACGTCCCACATAAGTGGGGGCCAACCCACGTTTTTAGGCTGGAGAATGGAAAGGGGAGCCGCACCTTTTGGCTACTGATAGATAGTGAGGAGGATGGGGGACAAAGTGTGAAAGAAAAGGGGTCCCTCCCTCATATCATTGATGAATGATCCAAAAAGGACACTCTCAACCACCCCAGCCCATACACTGCGTCCCAACCATCATTTTGGAGGAAAGAAGCTCTTCAAGAACTCCATTTTCATCCATCATACACGCACCAAGGGGAGGGAGGAAGAAGAAAGGAAAAAGAGAAGAGAAAAGAGGAGTTTAGGTGGGAAAACTTGTGTTTAACAAGGTAATGACTCCATAAACCCCATTTCTTGTTCTTCAATCATTTTATACGATTATACAATCATATTCCACACCCTAGGATTGTTATACACATTTGGAAGTGTAGAATGAGGGGTTGGAAGGTGGTTCTAAGTCCAAGAACGGACTTAGAAGCCAAAGTAACCGGTTCGCCGAAAAATAACCTTTTGGAGGTTATGTGTATTACTATGGGTTTTATGATGATAAAACCTTGTTAGTAACTTGTCTAAGGTATTCAAGGAACTTTCACGGAGTTGAAAGAGTCGCCGGAGTTCGTTGAAGTTCGCCGGAGTTTCGCCGGAGCTAAATCGGGAAGGCTAGAACTTCATAAGCTTCATTAAGGTGAGAAGACGACTTTATGCTTTATAACTTTTGCGTGAGGCATGAGATTACCTAAAGTAATCAGGAATGTGCTTTGTGGAATGATTAAAGATAACCAAGTGTGTGCTTATGCCATGATTATACATAAAACATAATTGAAAAGCATGTTATGTGGGTTTGGTGATCAGAAATGTGATAACTTCTTGTGTGTGATGTTCCAGGGATCCAAAATGGTATTTTTGGATCAAGGACGTCAAGAAGTATAAGTGTATAAAATTTCACGTTAATCGGACTTCGTTTGGGCGGTCAAACGAGCGTTGACCGCCAAGACAAAGGTGATACCCGACCGGGTATGGGTGAATACCCGACCGGGTTTTGATTAAAAATGGCTCCAGAAACCACTGCCACACTAGACCCGACCGGGTATGGGTGTAGACCCGACCGGGTCTCAAGTAAAGTTGGCTCCGGGGGCTACTGCCTCACCCCACCCGACCGGGTAAGGTTGGATACCCGACCGGGTATTGGGTTAAGCTCAGAATGGGCAGTTTTGAGTAGGTTAACGTGGGCCGTTCGGGTGGGACCCGTCCACGTTGGATCCTAAGGATTTTTATATGACTATAGGGCTAGGCATTGTCCATAGTTAAAGGAATGAAAGGTTAGCCATATCCAGTTAGGATTTGGTAGAGAATAGACTGGGGATTGAGTGCCCTTGGACGGTAAATGATCCAGAATACTCCAGGTGGGGTCGAGTACCCTTGGACGGTAAATGATCCAGAATACTCCAGGTGGGATCGAGTACTCTTGGACGGTAAATGATCCAGAATACTCCAGGTGGGGTCGGGCACCCTTGGACGGTAAATGATCCAGAATACTCCAGGTGGGGTCGAGTACCCTTGGACGGTAAATGATCCAGAATACTTCAGGTGGGGCCGAGTACCCTTGGACGGTAAATGATCTTAAATACTCCAGGATGGGTTGAGTGCCTTGGACGGTAAATGATCCTAAAACACTCGGTAGTATGAATCGAAGGTAGACTATAGCTTGTGAGCTAGGTAACCGGGAAAGGAGTGAGAAAAGTCAGGTAAGAACTTTATCTCTAAAAGACTCTTTAAGGTAAATGACCTACGGGTTGAGTATTTTACGAGTATATATACAGTATGTATCATCGGGTGGATGAGGGACATCTATATGTATATATATCACCCTATTTTTGGGTCTCGTGTCTGAAACATTAGTTATTCTTCATATAGCCTGCTTGTCACTAGTACTTCTATGGAGTACTGACCCCTCCGGGGGCCCTCATATTTTTCAGGTTGAGGCTAGAGTCCTACTACCTGCACCTTTGCCTAGGGTGATTGATCGAGAAGGAAGACGTGGTTCGTGCTTCCATTCTTATTTCAAATGTATAAACTGCTCATGGATTTTTGAACAATGTTTTCATTAAAACAGTTGGGGGCCTGCGAGCCCGTGTTTGCCACGTGTGGCTAAGTATCAAACATTTTATTATTTCCGCATTTGTTTGATTATGATATTGATGTTGATTGTATGTGTTTACTAATCGGTTTGGCAATAGAATCAATCGGACGCCTTGTGCAACTCAATAGGGATGAACTGTTGTTGTTCTTATCGGGTTGTACGGCGGTTGTCTACGTGGCTCGGACGCGGTCCGGGGCGTGACAATTAAGTGGTATCAGAGCCATCGATTTCT